CGATGATGCCTTTCGAAGAAACGACTGCTATATGGTCCCCACTCCTGCACTCATTTCAATTCCATATCGTCTCCGCTGTTGTTTCCGAAGCAGCACGATCGTTCCACCAGAGTAACCGTAGTCTTATCAATGGTTCTGCATTTTTCCCTTCAGAACATCGACCTATTCTATCTCAGTCTCTAATGTCAAAGGCCAAAGACCCCCGTATCTCAGTTTGGCAGAATCATGACTTGTTTTCTTCTTGCAAACCAAGCTCTGCTAAAACCAAAGTCGTGAACCCATGTAAAAAGTTTATGCCCCCTCTACAGCGCCGGTTGCTTTATGTGCTAGTGCTTGAACTGCGCGCAGAACGTTCCCAGTCCTGGTGACACACGACCCTGATGACCGGACGTGATAGACTCTTCTTGTAGTTGATCGCGAAGACGGTGCCGAGCCACCAGCCCAACCTAGCCGTCACACTACTATTATTGTTTAGGAGCGTTCACACGGAGGACTAGCATGAGGCACAGGGAATGGCAAGATGCCCAGCCGCATGCACGAGTATAGGCAAAAGGGGAAGGATCCAATCACTTGAATAACCATCTTCGACCGGACGTCTTCTCAGAACCCAACTACTCCCTAAACTGACATTCCTTCGATGTCTTCAGTCGCTTCCTCCTGTATGTCAACAACATCCACACAGAGTCCGAGAACGCGGCCGGATGTGTCGTGCCTCTGCTGATGACGGCGGTCATAATTGACATCAACCCCGCGAGTGTCGCAGATTCCCACAGCGCGGCTCAATGCTTCTTGACTTTTCGCCTGAGGTGCTCACTTTGAGAGGCCAAGTTCTCCCATTGAGAACTCGGGATCCCGTCCGTGAACCCCACTTCTCAGACTCTGTCTCTCACGGTCTGAGTGTTGATGGACCGCTGAGAACTGTCAGCCAGGTTCAGGGTGTAATATGGAAAATTGAGACTCCGCGCAGGTTGAGAGGACTAACTTAGTGGCCGTAACCCGCCGCTCAGGGAAGACGGAGACCTGTGCAGCGTTTGAGCTCTACTGACAGCGTGAAGTGTCGGAATGAATGCGAAAAGTTCGTGGTCGAGGGCATCAACTGCCCAAGCATGTCGGTCCAGCCGGGAGACAGGTTGGAAATCCCCTGAATGGTAATCAAAAGAGTCCATTATGTAGAATGGCTACCACATAGCCCACTCTAGGAAAAGATGGATCAACGGACTAATCGTGCGCTCGATGCCGCATGTTTGGTACCGCCAGGGCTGATTGATCTGGGCTCACTTTCAGGGGCCAAAGGATGCGGTCTCAAGTCTTTGCACGTCCGAACAATTCTGGTATGGCCTCGTAGGCGTTTACCTGCGTCGCATGCGCTTCTTCTTGGTTGGAAACTAAAGCTACTGTTGGAGAACACGCTGCAGACACTTTTTTTAATCGCAATTGCGTGAACATTTAAGATTATATTGATAGAGCCTTATGTAACTTATGGACTGCCTCGAATACGGCATTTCATTTTGGAGTCAACCAGAGCATGTAGCGTAGTGACTTGGCACTTTCTGCACTGCCGTGCTTCGAAAGTCTAATGAATGCATCCGGCTCTGAATCCTCTTGGTTGCCAACGATGCTGATGGAGTCATCTCAACTGTTATTTCTGTATTCAGCAAACCGAATTTGGCTGCCACGGCTTCGGAAGACCGACTGATGTGCAGGAAGTATTCAGAATGGATTAATACAAAGAGAATGCTTTTGACGATCCTTAATCATCGTATAGATCACCTGGACTACGAGAACGACTAGTTGGTTGCGCCGAGATTGTGACAACGATCCTTATCAGCAAACACACTTTTTCTCTCCCGAGGCCCGGGCTCCGATACCTCAAACACTCTTCAATCCCACTCGCGTCAGGCTCAACATCCACACCTCTGCTGCTGCTAATAACGCCCTAATGGTGAGAATCTACATTCAGGGTAAGCAGTCTTTTCCGTCATAGCTACGCTCTCGTCCATTTGAAACTCTTTGACAAACTTCTCTAACGACCTTCCTAGGATTGCCAAGCCTTCCATCACGCCCTGTCTTTACCTGGCACTGGCACATATGATCACCGCCAGCAGCGTCCTCGGCGAGACGTAGAACATGGCCTTCGGACCCCCCCGCTGGCGCCGTCAGTGACCCCCCAAGCAATATAGTCCACCGCTGTTATCAAAGCTACGACTCGCCCCTTACGATTTCTAGATTCTTCCATGGCGCAGGCCACTAAGGACGTGTCCGACGCGGTTAAATACTGCCTCGACACCTAGGGCGAGGCTGTCAACACTCGCAGCCCGCGGGGGCACAGCGTGACAAGGTCCATGACATGTCATACTGCGTCGTTTGGCACGAAATGACGTGTTTTAAGATGCACTCCCCCGCATCAGGCTCTACTCTAATTTCTGTACTTCACACTTCTGACACGTCTGCTGAAGACGCTGTCTGTTCCGCTGACACCTTGAATTGTGGGATGGCAGAGGTGATGGGAGACCTCCTTCCAGTAGCGGGTGGTTATGAGTTGGTTTTGACATATCGCGGCCTGTTGACACCTTGGGAAAACCATGCCGACCTCCTCTTATCCATGATTAAATTGGCAAATCTGAGCAGATGCTATGCGTAACGGCCGGCTTCAGGATTTGCCTTCTCCGTGAGCCAGTGACGAAACACCCCCGATTTCAGATCTAACGACGAGATTGTTGCTCCTTTCGCAGCTGTCAAGGCATGGCTGGCGGCACATTTCTGACGAGAGCTCTTGCAAATTTAGTTCATGTCGACAGCACTACCCACCGGACTCTAGCCAACTGGGCATTCCCGTTCGCTCTCCTTCCGACTGAGGCCAATGTGACCCGTTTCGCTTCCATACTCGGTTGGTGCTTTGCTTTTCGGGAACCTTCCTCGGAGCTGCCGCTGATGTGGAATCTTTTCAACGAGAAGTAGGTAGTAATATAGCACATCATCTCTCCACTCAAAGCTTGGCTTGTGACCAATCTACAATATGGTAATCAAAGACAATCACGGAAATAGAGCCAGCCAGTGTCGGAGGCAGTTCAAGACCAGAACCAAAGCCAGTACCACTAAAATTGTCTCCAGAAGTCCGTGAGATGCGACACAAACACCCAAAGAAGTTAACGGCAGTAATTCAGCTCAGTGCTAAATCTTCACTCCAGCCGCCAAACCACCTTGTCACCCTCGCACAGATAAACAAGTTCATCTTCCTGAATATCCCCTCACCATTAGTTCAACACTACACATCACATACTGCTAAGCAGTACGACGACTTCAAAGTTTGTTTCCCAAGAAGACCTCATGTAATACCTGCAGCCCCCTCGTCTGGCATCCTTTATTCCTTATTTCTATTACTTTACTCAAGCCCATTACCACAACATTTACAAGCCGGATCTCGACCTAATACCCTCAGACGGCATCAATATTGCGCATAATGGCAGCTGCCTCTGCCATTGATTCGATGTAGTGCAATCTTTTTCGTTTCCAGATTGTTCGAGTTGCCGAGAAATACAGCATATGTACTCTTCGAGCTAGATCGGTCAAATCATCATCTTTAAAGTTGTTTCCCTCGAATCTTTCAACTACGAGGGAAACGCATCATTCTCAAGCGCAGGTACTTTGCCGTTGCTGGTTAGGAACTGAACGCAATTCTGAAGGAATATCTGAAAGAATGGCGGGAAAATCCATGGAGAAAGGGGTGAGGGTACTAGATATGGCCCCTCAAGCCGCTCTGACCGATGACCATCAGCACATGGGTGCCCACAAGCCAGGCTCAGGGAGACCAGACACCTGCAATTTGCTTTCCAGGGACATACCACCAGTTTATGTGGTTTATCTCTACTCTGCTTCTCCCTAATGTTCTTCATGAAGAAGAACGCCGCTCACGGACATTTATCAGCTCGCGATGGGAGTGTCTTGATTATGAATTCGTCCCTGTTATGTTTGGTGATGGCTCAGGCGGTCCCGAAGGCGGACAGAGGAAGCACTAGGCCGACTTCGCGGTCCCATTCCATGGCACTAAACGTGGTCTGCCTTGAGCCTCCCCTGGTGCCGTCTTCCATCAAGCGTACCTGTCGCGAGCTGAATTTCTCACAGCATCATATTGAAATTCGGCCCTCTAGTAGGCCTGATCTCGTCCAAAATCTTTTTCCGTGGGTCCAGAAAGTTCAAGACCGTCTGATTGCGACCCGATCAGGTTTTCTTACCGTAGAGGTCAGGCAAGCGGTGCCTGGCTTCACGCACTCTGATTCGGCATTCTCGACCCAAACTACAGGCTAGGCAGTATCCAGCCCTTTTTCTGTGCTCCTTACACACTGCTTTCTCATGCTTATCAAAGCCGGTATGAAGCGCGAAAGCATGTATGAGCAGGGAGACATCGTTAACTCCAACTTTGGGTTTGAATTCCTCGGTCGGCGGCGATCTGACTCGAGGTTGACACTGTCACTAGACGCTTTTAGCACCTAGGCTTGATCTAGTGACTCATGAGAAGAGCTGCTGCGGGAGCAGAGCTTTCAGACCGGCCTGTCTACTAGGGCCCTGGAGTGAAGTGGAAAAGCGTGCCTACAGGCAACCGATTGAAAGTCATCTACAATGGGATACCCTACCCCTCTCATAAAAGGCATTCTTGTTCATTCATATGGACCAACCAATTAAAACTTCACCTTAGGGATTCACCTACGACTAAGACGAGCCTACCTTCTTTAAAAAGCCCTCACGGCGTTTTGTGGCTTAAACCTGATACCTTGTAATGGCTTAAACCTCACAGGCCCCGATCTCACAGGCTCCGATCTCGGGCTCCGACGTCAGGCTCAGACCTCATAGGCTCAGATCTCACAGGCTTACATCTCACGGAGACGGTGCTCACAGGTACAGTCCCCACAACTTTTACCGTGGCATGGGGCTCACACTCTACTTAGGTCGCAAAATATGAGCTTGTCTGACTTGTCAAAAGAAACTACGAGCTTCTTGCGGAGATGGCATATTTCGAGGCGGAAAAGGTCCATTGGCCACCCGAGCCAGCAGTATGGCCTGGGTCTGACCTCAACGTGGATTCTGTACGCTTGCTGGGTCGCAAAGGGACAGCGATTGAGTTCCTACCACGCAGTACTAGGTCACCGTTTATTGGCGTATGTTTCACCTGTCAAGGATACATCTACCCGCACGGATATTCTCGCACACTGTTTGGAGATGAGCATACTGGGGCAGACGTGAAGTGGTGGCTCCATGCAAAAGCTGACACATTCGTTCAATTCTTTAACAGAATCACTGAGGACGTGTCATCGTTGGAACTCGTCCCTGTGAAAACAGTTGGAAATCACCCAACAGGAAGTTGCAGCCATCACAGCGAAAACGCACACGTCAGTGACTTCAGCGGCTGGTAACAGCGGCAACCAGCCATTGCGCAATATTAGTATTGTTAACTTCCAGATGGATTGCAGGTTCTGAGGAATTTGTGCAGAGATTATAGGTTGCCGCAAGCTTCTTGCGGCAAACGATTTCGTTGAGCTGTTTTTACTGCTCGCCTGGCTGCTGTACGCCAGAGGACTCCCAGCTCGGATTCGGAGATGGGCGAAGAGTAGTTGAGTCAGAGGTAGTAGAGAATAAGCTCTTGAACTCCAACACCAGTGAAATCTTTACTTTAGTTCAAATATACGCATGTACCCATTCTACCTTGTAATTCGGCCATGCTCAAGTCTGGCAGTTCTCCTGTTAAGATCCGAGTACTGGGTTCAAGGCAAATGACACCGACATGTCAATCCGTTAGAGTTCAGAAGCTGCCAACAAGCTCGTGCAACCAGAGCCTCAATAGACTCAGAGCAGTTCGCAGCAATTTGGACTTGCGTCGCTGTCGTCCTTTCCGGCGGTGCCGCTGTGTTCGTTGCAGAGCCTTCTGATTCAGAAGCACTAATTGGCTAAATCTTGGTGCTGTAATTCCCACCGGCAACCCCGAAGATGGGGTTGTACTGGTGAAGAGCAAGGTATCGATGCCCGCATTCATGGCCAGCTACCGACACCCCTCCCCGGAAAAGCTTAAACCTTGCAGCCGGAAATAGTTCATGTCTGTTATGCCTCCAGCTCGGACACAGGCGGATATGTTGAGGCCGCCGTGAGAGCGTCTTAGGTTCGGGGTTCAGGGACTGGAAGGAATCAATGTGAGCCATTGTACCGCCCAGTGTGTACATTGGCCCACTTCTTCGGGGGGATGATCTCTGTTCTCCAGCTAGGCGCTGGATAGGCCCACCAAGTCGCTCTTCACTGCCGTCTTTTTGGGATACTTGAAGTATTGATAGCTAAGCTAAATTCCAGAGACGCCATGATCTCCACCTGCACGAGGAACTCAATCTACGCATGGTATGATTCGTGAATCCTGGCAACGAACTCGCGGGGCCTACAGCCTCAACGACCACGTTCTCTCCCCTTTTTTGACTGACTACTTTCAAGCTGGCGTTTCTTATGTCTTTCTTTTTTAAGGGCTCAAATTAAAAGTCGAGCAGCGTGTCACCTCAGACGGTGCACTGCCTCTTCTTTGTTTGGACGTGGGCCAGGTTGGGCGCAGCCCCCTGCCAGGCCTCCCCACGAGTTCAACGTACAAGCTGAAACGGGCAGCAGGACATCAAAGCACCTACCTGCCTGTCTCACTAGCATGGCAGTTAATTACGAGCTGCAGGGCGCCCCCACCTCAGGCAACACCGACTTTTGTCACATACACCCACTCGGCAGGTTCGCGACGCCATCCATGATCCTCACGAAGTACACCTGAACGCAGCGCTGCGACACCACCCCCGGCGCAAACAAAATACAGACAGGGCCACACTCCTGGTTACAATGAGAATCATTCTGTCTCCCGAGCCAGATCGGTAAGGTCGTTTCCGCGTTTCAACGACAGCGTTCGTCAGGTCAGCTATCGCAACGTAAGTGGAACTCAAGACTGTGAGCATTATCATAACTTCGAATTCCCGGCAAATGACTCTACTATTTTCCGTGGCTCGTCATCTTGCGTTTCAGTCTTCGCCGAGACTCGATGAAGTCCATTATTTCGGGACAAGGGCACTGCTCTGGAGACCGCTGAGACCTGTCGAACATCCGCACCGAACATGTAGTTGAATGCTGGGGAGCGTGTTTCGCGATCATAAACACGACACCCGGGTTCTTATGGACCCTCAGAAATATAAGGCTGTGATGGCGATAGTTGATGAAAGATAAAAGGCGGTTCTCATCAGAGGGGAACAATGGGGACAAAAAGCATGTTGTTGATGAGCGATCCTTTGTGAGGGACCCTTGCGTGCGGTTGCTTGTTGGCCATTTTGAGCGAGAGGGCCACAAAGGTGGGTGGTTACTGATAACTCATGACCACTCTTTCCTGCACACCGAACAAGTCAAAAAGCAGCCTTTGGCGGAGATGTGGTTTCATGAACTATGTACTGTTCCCCCGTTCCCTCCACTCCCATCCCTTGTTCCACACCGCAGACTCAAGGTTCCAATCGGCCATCCCATGTCACCAGCAAGACACCTTGGCTCACAAATCATCGACGACTCCATCCTTTCACTGGCAGTATTTCTGGTGTTCTCTGCTCCTATGTCAAGTATGACGGCCAATCACCTGACGCAGAGGCGGAAAATATTGCAATATCATTACACGAGGCCTATTCCCAAAGCTGGCGACTCGTCCGGTGTCATCCAGACCACAGGTCTAATATTGCACGGGTAAGGTAGGTACCCTACCACATGCATTGATAATGTCCATAGAGGTGTCCTCCTCAAGCTTCCCCCGGACACAAAATGTCTGCACCGGCTGCTTGCACGTCGATCTGCGCGCTCTTGCACCTCTTGCGGCTCGCTTCGAAGTTGTCGCCGTTTGCTTTGGTGAGGCAAGCAAGGAAATAGCGTTATCGTCGACGCTCCGGCCATGCGGTAGCCAAAAGTATGACTATCTAGCCGGTCGCTATCAGCGGAAGCTACACAGGCCCCATCATCAATTTCCAAGCTTTCTTCCATCTTCAGCTCCACGCTACGTGTCGAAAACCAACCAAGCCCGCAAAGATACGGCAGCCCCGATCCCGCTCTTTACGAGCCCTTTGACTCTTCAGAGTCCAGGAGAGCTTGCAGTTGCCTCTGTCTTGCGATTGCTATTGAGGCAAATGCTCTCCTCTCCCAACGAGGCATTCCTGTCTTCCGAGTGGGATTTGCTGAGACTGCGTGAGGCGTTTCAATGGTTACCGTAAAGCGTTGTTTAATTTCAACGATTAACCACTGAGACTCTATGTAGATGAACGCTATGTCTTGTTGGTCCAGTTACTGCCTGGGAACCGCGTCGGCCCCGGTCGATATTTGACAATGGTTATTTGCATGATCTGCGACGGAGACTCTCTGGGAGTAGAAATCTCAAATATTACTCTGAGCGCTTTCGGATCACAGTTTGCCACTCATAAGCTTGCCCCAATTTGCCCTCCTCCTGGCCGACATTTGCCTCGCCCCTGCGCCGACTCAGATTCTCGCATCCCACCGACGCCGCCGCCACCTGGATCTCCTAATCCTACCAACCCTCCTCGAAATTCCCTTCACGAACCACCATCACTTGATACGCCGCAGGTGCAGGCGCTGTTACTGGGCGAGAGGTGCCCGTTTGCTGGATGCTAGAGCACGCCTGGACTGTTGCGCGCCCCCTACTGGCGGACGACATGGTGTTCAAGACGTGGTACTTGGACAGAAATTTCGTACTTGTACGGGAATGATTCTGCACATCCATCAGACCGGGGGCGGTGGCTCATACGGTTGACCACACCGGCGACAATGCTGTTAGGCTCATCAGTACACATTTGGTGCATAGTAGCGACTCTAATAGCAGCGACTCCACTGTGACTCTGCTGTACTGACACTACAGAGTATTAGTAGTGTGAAGTGGCAGCGACTCCACTATTGGCAGTCATCCCACGCGGCAGTTGCCCCACACGACAGTCACTCCACACGGCAGTGACTCCACTCACGCCTCACGGCAGTGACTCCACTAATGGCAGCGACTCCACACGGCAGTGACTTCACTGCATCGAGCTACGGATACAGGAAGGCAGCCACCGAGCGGATCCTGGTAGCGACTCCACTGAAAAACCGCGACTCGGCCACACCTTTCAAGGCACCTCGGCAGAAGTGCAGGCACTCAGATGGTACATTCACTTCGGTGCCAACACACGCGGGTGTCGTACGGTCTGAATTGCTGCCGCAACTCAACTCCGAGCATCGTCATCTGGATGCTTTGCCACACCGAATCGCAATCAGCAAACCATCATCCTCAGGTCGCGACGAATTCCAACTCCTCATCTCTCGCCCAAGAAGCCAGCTTTTCGCATCCCGCTCGCAATCCTTAACAGAATAAATTTTTTTACCTGCGCAAAGCCCCCGCGGCGCCGACGATCGCTTCACCCAGGCCACCTGACTCCGACCTTGACCCTGGTAGTCTCAACGGACCGCCGCCCAAGTTGACTTTGACCAACGGATGGAGATGGAGTACTCACTTAGGGCTCAAATCGTCGTGGTATCTGGATGACAGGATGGACACCCTCTAGACCGGGGAGGTTGGCTGACGGTATGCTCCAAGCTGGATGGTGTTGAACAGAAGTCTGAAATGCAGCCAGCAACGGCTTCAACGCCTGGGATCATCAAACGTATGGTCGACATGTTGTCAAGTCTGGTGGCAGCGACTGCGACGGTGGTGCCCAGGGTTTCGGCTCTGCAGTCGGTAAACTTGCGGCAGGCGGTAGGCACAAGGAGAGGGGGCCATCACACGGCGAGGACGGAAGGTCACGATCAGATTTACTGCCGAAAAGTCCAGCAGGCTCAGCTGCATTGAAGTCATTGCCCATCATGGTTTCACCGCCGCTAGGCTTGCTCAGAAAGCGGTGCAGGCGCTGGTCGTTGAGATGGCGCCTCAGGTAAAGCGTCCCCACCCCGAGCGGGAGTCCCCTCCTGCACTCAACCACCTGCGTCTCCCCTCTCTGCGCAGTGTCTGAGCCGAAATCTGCACCCTCGCCGCCGCGGCAAATATGTGGTTCTTTGGAATCATTCGTCTGTCATGGCCCCAAAGTCAACGCGTGTCGCCGTGTCATGGTGCTGAAGCGACTGGTTGTCGCCTTTCCGCAGCCGCTCGAGGCACCAGACTGCCCGCTGCTGCGTCCGAGCAGCCACCACGTGATCTTGGCTTTCACTGCAGAGAACTGGAAAGTCCCCATAAAACTGGGGACTTTCTCAGCCACACTGCGTCCGAACTAACTCCCCAGCCGCAACTTCCCTGCACGAGGGCAGCCATGCTGGCCGCATCTCCCGCGACAACCGAATGACGCCCAAGTAATGCCGGCTCCGGGGATGCAATCTTCTGGCGAGAGTCTGGAGTCTGTTCAAGGGAGGTCGTGCGGAGCTGTCCTCCCGTGGACGCAGATGGCAACGCCCCTGTC